AGGTACCAGGAGCTGCTGAAGGTACGGCCTGTGCTGGGCCCTGCGGCCCCCCCGGCCCCGCAGCGGGGACCCCCGGAGCCCTGGGAGGGGCAGGGGTTTGGAGTGAAATTAAACCTTGTTGAATGGAAGTGAATAACTGCATCGCTTGGAGCTGAGCTTTTGCTTGTCCCCTGGTTTTGGTTTAAAATCTTTTTCGGGGAAGAAAACCAGTGGTTGTGGTTTGGCACAAAAAGCAAGTTGTCCTGTCAGGGGACAGTTAACTCCTGTGTTGGGAGGAGGAAGCCTGTATTTGACAGGGTTTCTTGTTTTCTAGCTTTCGTTGTCTGGTTCTTTGTAGTTTGGGACTCATGCTCAGTGATAGAGCTTTGAGGACTAGAGACACTGAGCAAGAAACTGATGGAAGGAATGAGGGGGAAAACAAGATCTAAACACCCAACTCTAATCTGTGTGTCTGAGGTTCTGTAAATAGTTTGTGCTGCTGAGCTGTCTGTGGAAGGGTCCTCTTGCCCAGTTGACCTTGAAGTCCAGTTTGTGTTTATGAGACTGGAAGCAGATACATTCTGTGTTCTTGTCTTTTGACCTTTTTGTACTCAGACTAACAGCTTGTTGGCTCTGAGCCTGGCAGGTTTTCAAATGTTGGATGCAAATTGCTTGTTGATTGCTCAGAATGACAGTGTTCAAGCTGTAGACATTCCTGTGCTTTAGTAAGTTCATCATAGGGGTTTCTTCCATGGGATGAAGGCTGGGCCTTGTGTCTCACTTTAGTCATTAGAGATGTGTCCTGGCAAGGTGCTGAGATACTTCTTATCCTTAACTGTACCTTGCTTCCTCTCCACAGATGGAGGAAGGGGATGCTGACATGAATGCACCCATAATAACTCCTTCATCATCCACTGAAAGTGTGAACAAGGTACCAGTGGTGAAGGCCAAGGCCACTCATATCATCATGAACTCTCTCATTACAAGTAAGAACTCTTGCCTCTAGATGTGGTGGCTCTTGGGGTGTGGGCACACAAGGTTATCTGGTTTGGTAATGGCTCAAGGTAACTACCAGGGTTCCTGGACAGCTTGTGGGTTGATACTGACTCTGCTCTTCAATTACCTGAGCTTTTGTGAAGATCCTTCTAGAAGGAAGCAAGGAACTAGGGAATAGGACACCCTTACTGCCTCTGTATTAGCGGGTGAGGAGGGAGGTGTGCAGGGCACGCTCCTGATAGGACACTGCAATCCCTGCCACCTTGTTGCTCGAGTGCAGAGGTGGCTGCTGCTGTTTGGTTGCATATTAACTTGCTATTTCTGAATGAAAGGTAAAGCTCTAAAATTAACCAGAGTGGTGTGAAGAGCTGACATACTGTGCTAATGGAGCATTTGCTGGTGTTTTTGTTAGTTAAGAGCAGCAGCAGCAGCTGTCTTGCTAACAGTGACACTTGGAAAAAAACAAACCTCAGAAATCATGATGCTTTAAAATCAAAGGGTGTTAGTTATGTTTGCAGAGGGGCATGCCTGTTTGCAGCAAGAGGAATTATTCATGTGTTAATCTTTCCCTGCTGCCTCTTCTTTTTTAAGATGGGATCTGAGCTTCATCTTCCTCCAAACAGTGTTTCAAAAGATTTCTGCATTTTTCAGAACAGCCTTTTGGAATAGCTTTACATTTGCTCGTGTGTTTATCTTTGTTAAAAAAATAACCAACATGTTGGAAAACAACATTCAGGGATGTGAACTTCCTGCTGCAAGGCAGCTCCTGTTCTAGCCTAATGGTGAAATGCTAATCTAGTTAAAACCAGGATGGCCTAAAACTGTTCTTGTGCAGTAAGAAGTCAGGAGCCTCAACTTAGACCTCGCAGGAAAAACATTGTCACAAGCTGGGAATAAATAGGCAAATGTCTGGATTTCTCATATACAGTGCACTATCCCTGCAGATAACTTTAACATTAACATGGGTTACCTGTTTTAAAGAAGACATTGGGCTTTTCTAGTAATCTTTTGTGCTTCAATTCCTTTTGACTCTTCTTAGCTCCATTAGGGAGTGAACATGTTATGCTGATGGAGGTAAAAAGTGCTTATGTTTTCAGAACTGAAGTTGGTATCAGTGTATTAGATGTTGTCTCTGTATTTGGCTGAAATAGTTTATTGTGCTTAATCTGGGATCACTGGGAGTTTTTACCACCTGTTCTGCTGTGGCTGTCAGGTTGTCTGGGGTTGGCAGTCTTTCAGAAGACTTGAATTTAGAGGTCACTTAAAGTGACCAGCTTAGTGGGGTCTCCTAGATCTAGGAAGTTTTAATTAGGAGTGGTGCAGCTTTTTTGGGAAGATGGCTTTAATTACAGGTGTTGGCATTTGTAATACCTCTGGAGATCTGGGACAGATCACTGTATTGACTTAGCCCTGTGCCTTGCGAGTTTTCAAGTCAGAATAGTTTCCATCACTGCAGAATAGGCAGGACATGGAGGTGCTGGAGAGGGTGCAGAGAAGAACGACAAGGCTGATGAGGGGTCTGGGGAAGAGGTCTTATGAGGAGAGGCTGAGGGAGCTGGGGCTGTTGAGCCTGGAGAAGAGGAGGCTGAGGGGAGACCTCATTGCTTTCTGCAACTACCTGAGAGGAGGTGGGTGTTGGGCTCTTCTCCCCAGTGACCAGCAAAAAGACAAGAGGAAACGGGGTCAAGTTGCGCCAGGGGAGGTTCAGACTGGATGTTAGAAAACGTTTCTTCACAGAAAGTGATGTGAGGCATTGGAACAGGCTGCCCAGGGAGGTGGTGGAGGCACCATCCCTGGAGGTGTTAAAAAAAAAAATGGGTAAACATGGTGTTGGAGATGGTTTAGTGGTTGGGTGTTGTAGGGTGGGCAGTTGGACTTAATCTTGAAGGTCTTTTTCAACCTTGATGATTCTGTGATTAGCTTAACTTGCTGCTTCTCAACTCATCCCAATACATAGGTATGGATGGTGAAAAATGGGCCTTATGTTTGATTGCTCAAGTTGCCTTTTGTTGCTAGAACTTCTTGTTGTGGCATTTCTTTGTGAACGTGTGCTGTTGTCTGTTGCAGAGCAGACTCAGGAGAGCATCCAGCGCTTTGAGCAGCAGGCAGGTCTGAGGGATGCTGGCTACACCCCCCACAAAGGCCTCACTACTGAGGAGACCAAGTATCACCGAGTGGCTGAGGCAGTCCATGTAAGATTTGTTCTGCATTGCCTTTCTCTATGTATGTTGTGCATTAGCTTAACACTTGTCTGGGATGTAACTTTGTAGAGTGTTCG